TGAACAAGATAGCATTCATGGTATGTACTTGCATTTTTTCACCAAAATGTCTGACTTGGAGAGTCTTGTTCAGCTAGTGTTACGTATAGAATTTAATTGGGAAAGCTGAAAGACTGTTGTTAAAAAGGTTTACTGATGTTTGAAGGCCAGGTCATACGAAATGGATCAGTTCTGCCTCAAAGTTATATGAGACATTGATAAAGACCAGTAGAAAGGAGTCTGATAATCATCATATTACGGGTGAAAAGCTGAGACACGGGAAAACTCAGCATCGTGTGTGGATTCATGCAGGAAGTCCGACTGAGGGCTGCTCAGACCTCCTGACTCCCAGGGCAGCCCTGTCATTGTGGAGCTGCTGTTTCTCTTTGTAGCCTTGTTTCTGCTGCTGCAAGAGGGCCTCACCTGGCCAGCACCTGACGAGCCCTTCCTTTCTTCAGAACTTGCAAAACACCTGGTTGGTGTAAAGTTCAGTAGGCCGAGGTATTAGCCAGAAAATGTTCCCTGGTACTGCTGCTTTCGGGCACTGTGCTCTATGTAGTGGTACGGAGAAGGCTCCTCAGCATTTGCCTACTCAACCAGCAGCTATTGGGAGGAGCTGTGGAAGGGAGAAAGAGGATATAATCAGAGTGGTTCCCGAGGTAGGGCTTTCCAGCTCATGTCCCTAAAATCCCCGGGAGGAAAATTGCCAGGGGAAGGCTATGGATGTCACCCCAGTGTGCGTGCCGTGACCTGCGTGCTGAGAATCTAAGAGATGGTCTGGAGGTACTGGGGATGCGTCTCCGACAGCATCAGGAGGGTCTGCGTGGGGTTTGAGAGGGGACCACGCTGCTCTGTGTGTGTGTGTGTGTGTGTGTGTGTGTGTGACAGGTGTGTAAGGGCGGAGAGAAGAGTCCTGGCAGGCGGGTGGGTGTCAGGAGTGGCGAGCGGTGTGTGCAAGGTGCAGCGGCTGTGCCGCTCTTGTAGCGTTGGCAGAGCTGCGCGCTCCCTCAGCGTAACCGTCCGAAGCTTTGGGAAATTGCACTGTTAAAGCATTACAGGCCATCTGTTGCCTTGACGGACCACGGATCTCTCATTCGTACCTCTTTCACCAGTTTAAACAGAAGAATACCAAGTGCCGGGCCCTCGCTGATGCTCAGTGTGATCTCACAGAGTACTGCAACGGGACCTCTGCGTCCTGTCCTCCTGACTTTTATATTCAGGACGGGCATGAATGTGAGCATGGCACCGGTTACTGCTACAAAGGACGCTGCCGGTCTGCTGACCTGCAGTGCCAGAGACTCTATGGGAAGGGTAAGAGAGGCGATTCTGTTTTCATTGGTACTAACCTCTAGTTCCAGCACGTTTTTTTAATAACAGTATGCTTAGCCTCACTGCTGTGTAGGTCTCAGTCTCTGTTTGTCAGTCCAGGCGTGAAATTGCCCAAGAAGTCAGAACTGGGTTTCAGCCAGCTTTGAAAGGAGTAGTATAGGGGCAGAAGACGACATCCGAATGTGGTGGACAGCTGCCTGCTCTCTTGCATGAA